TTACAAGAAAAATTTTGGACTTGGACTGGAGCATCTTCCAGGAAGTGGTGGAAGAGGTATCTTCTTTCTGTTTATAACATGGTAATCTATGTTTAATGTTGTTTTAAAATTTATTGTTTTGCTACTTAAAGCACATGCCTACTTCGCAATTATTTGTCATTGAATTCATTTATCATGCTCTTTTCTGAATTTTTGCTACACAGGATAATTTTTTAAATAGAATTGCCTAGACCACCAAGTATGAAATGTTAATAAGTTTTTTGATTGTAGTTGGTCAATTGCTCTTAAGAAAGGCTTTACTATTTACTTATAGGCCCAACGTGATGAGAGCTTTTCCCAATTCTCTATAACCTCATCAACTTCAATATGTCTAATCATCATACAGAATTATGTTCACTGCAGTATATCAGTGCTTTAAAGTACTCAGAATGGCTTTATTTCACAGAATTCTGAAAATATTATTTAAAAATGCATACTGAGATTTTTTCAGCTACAAAAAAGTTGTTATTGGTGTTTTTTGTTTATTGTCAGGTGAGATACATGTACAGTAGACATAAATATGTAAATTTGCAAGTTAAACTATTTGCACACTTCATATTGAAGAAATTCTCACCTTTGAAGTTCTTGGAGTGTTCTTCCTTGCCCTGTTATTCTGAGATTACAAAGCATCTTTGTTTTACACTAACACATTGAGTTTTTAGATTTAAACACCAGATGGGGTAAGGAGGATCAAGATGATCATTTCTTATTCGTCTGGATTATAGTTTTGCTGTAGCTTCTATGACATTATTTTAAACTGCCTCCAAACAGAGTCATGCGTTTCTATTTCTCACCCAACAATCTTCTGCCCTGGGCCCAGACATTCCTATCCATTGCCAGTTTCTTACTTGTACTAAGAAACTGTTTCAATTCTCCACTTGGTGTTGCTGAAAATCATAACTGGTATCTTATCTTTGGATACTTGAAATGTGAATACTATCCTTTGCGATGATACTCCTCCATGTCATAAATAAATCTTATTCTTAAAAAGAGAATGTATTGGCCTGCAGGGTGGCTCATGCCTGTAATCCTAGGCTTCTCTGGAGGCCAAGGCAGGCGGATTGTCAAGGTCAGGCGGAGTTCGAAACCAGCCTGAGCCAAATAGCGGACACCGTCTCTACTATAAATAGAAAGAAGATTATTGGCCAGACTAATATTATAGAAAAAATTAGCCAGGCATGGTGGCGCATGCTGTGAGTCCAGCTACTTGGAGGCTTGAGGGCAGGAGGATTGCTTGAGCAGGAGTTTGAGGATTGCTGGTGAGGCGTAGGCTGATGCCACGGCACTCGACTCTAGCCTGGGCAACAAAGTGAGACTTCTGTTTCCAAAAAAAAAGAATGTGTATTATTAGACATATTAACACTAGATTGGATTACTTTTACTCATGTACTGTTAATCGACAGTCATATATGTTAGATTTGCGTAGTGTTTGGGCTTTTCTTGCTATTTAGCTTGTATTTGGATTTATTTTAGTGTTCAAATGCTTTTTTGCTGCCTGTTCTTATAAGTCTGTTAACACTCTCTTAGGAATTAGATTTTAGACAACACCCTAATGAAGGCAGGAGAATAATTGTACTTCATACTTTTACTTTCTTATATTTATTTAATGTATTTTCATGCTTAAACTGGTCTTATTCGCCTGTCTCTCTATATCCAAGTTGCAGAAAGTATGATGATCAAGTTTTGACGTATATTTCTTCATTTGACTTAGAAAGCTCAAACCATGTGACATAAAGTCTGAAAGGGAGGGTATTAAAATTTTGATACTTCACTGTGCAAAATGTAAGACACTTAGAAGGGT